TTGACATGACGTTGACGTCATGCAACAGGAACCGGAGTGAGGTCCTCAGTCTTCAGCTAGGAAGGGACAACTTAAGCAGTTTAAGTGTGTTGCAGGCAGTGGTCCATACTGACTCCAGCTCTGACTCGGTCCAAACCCCACACCTAGTGTAACGGTACTCAAAGACAATTCGTCTAGAGTGTGGTCGTTTGCAACAAAGGGTGAAGTGAAGATTGAGGACTTGAACCCCTTGGGGCAGCCACCCTCCTTACGGGAGTTGCAGCTGGGGCCCTGCCAGGAGTTACCCTAGATTCATCTGTGAAAGAGAGAAACTCGGGTTCAATCAGATGTCCTAGAACTTCTAATGTGTTCATTTTCCAAACCGAAAGTATGAATCTCTGCGGACAAAGATGAAATCTCAGAGTAATTCCAAGGCTTATTTTATCTGTGATTATGAGTCCTGTGGGACTCATACGGTGAATTTAATTTCTATGAGCACTGTTTTCCTTCTTTACTTTAAAAATAATTGTAACATCTCAATTTGTAAGCCCGCAGCATTTAATAAAGCAGTGCAATTGACTGCTGTAATTGTCTAAATTAATTTTTACACCCTATTTAATATTTAATTGAGATGAGACTTGTAGATTCATAACATGTTAGAGACTTAATGATCCTATATGAGATGATGTGGAGGAAGGTCAAATAGATTCTTTCCAATTTCTGAATAATTTGTGTCTGCAAAATGCAAGTAAATTTTACTAAATAAATCATTTTTTAAAAAGTAGGAGGAGCATTTATCCTTCCGACAACCTTATCTCAGGTTCTTTTGCTGACACTGACACTGAGAGAATTGTTTTCCTGGGGCGCAGTCCTTAGACTTCTTTTCTCGGTTTTCTCCTGGTGGCATTATATTGATTCCTTTATTCTCCATGAATCCCTCCAAAAACAGCAGTGAACTTCCATTTCTATACTCTCAGTCTTATACTTCTCTTAAGCTCTACACCTGAATTTCCATTACCTCCTGGAAATTTCCAAATACATTTCTAGTTTAGTGTTTAATAGTTGCCAGATGAAAATAATAATGAATAAGTAAATGAATTAATGGCTGAACCATAGTCATCACAACTTAGCAGAGCTTTCAAATCAGCTCTTTGTCTTTACAGACTTTTTTCCTCCTTTATTTTCTACCATAGTTAAAAAACCACTGTCTATCAGTTTGCAAAGCTAGAAATCTGTCATCCCTGACTCCACAGCCAACATAGCACTAAGTCCTGTTATTTTCTTTTCCTAAAGATCTCTCCAATAATCTATCTCTTTTGAGCCATCTTCATGTCTCCGCCTTATACAGGTGGGCACCATCTCTTACCTAGAGGGTAGTAAGTCTTTTGACTTGATCTGTTGTCTCTTCTCTAATTTGTCAAGTTGTAACAGCATTCTAAAAAAGAGATTGAATGCTGCCATCACCCTGCTTAGATATTCATAGTCTAGCATATGAAACCTTGTATAAGCAGAATTCTGGAAGATAATAGGTTGTATTCCTAACCTCCTGCCTCTCTGCCTGGCTAAACCCACCTTCTACTCTAGTGCTTCTCAACTGAAGCCGGTAAGAGCAGGGGAGCCTGAAATTGTAGGGGTGTTATGGATTAGTAATAGATTGACCACTGTGGTTATTATTTGAAATAGACTTCTGCAAGTAAGATTTATTTCATTAAAAAATCTCATAAAATTTTTGCATTCTGTTCCACAATGTGTTCATGCTATTTTCATTTTTAAGTGTCTGAAATCTTTCTATGAGCATATATATCAATTATATCTCAATGAAACTGGAAAACTTGTTTTATATCATTATTAGCTAGATTTGACATGCAATTGAATAAACTCAAGGAAGCCCCAGGAAATTGTGCCATGCTTATTCTGTGGTTTTCCACAATCCCTGGCACATTGCTGCACAGACTCAGGAAGGACAACCAGAGAGTTCTCTGGTTATGCAGAACTCTTGACTGTTGTCCCAGAACGCCATGCGCACTTTCACAACTTCACCTCTCTTCACCCTGCTGCCTCTACTTCTACCTCTGCCTCAAATTGCAATGCTTTTCTTGGTCTTCATTATTTGGTAAACTCCTATTTATTTTTCATTAACCACCTCATATATCACCTTCTCTCTAAAGTCATCCAGGCACCCAACAAAATAATCATTCTTTTCTGATTTTCTATATTAAGCATCACATTATATTTCAGTGGTTTGTTTTTATTTTTTTAAAGATTTATTTATTTATGCATACAAGAACTGGGGTGTAGGCCAGAGATGCGGGGGAGGAGGGGTGAGAGGATTCACCAGAGACAGAGTGGGGACCAGAACAAACAGATCTACTGAAATACACTGCTTAGGGGAGCAGCGGGTGAGACAGGAAAGGTCTGCTGTGCCATGTGGGCTAGCTCCCTAGCTGGTGAGGGATATAAATCATGCTGCAGTGGCTGGCAATAGCCTGATAGCACTTGTCTTTAACCCCTGCGCCACCAGGGAGGCCCTGCAATGGCTTATTTATACAATGTCTCTCCTACTGAAATTTAAGTGGGAATGGTGTCTCATTCCTTTATATCACTATTGGTTTACACAGTATTTTACATGGATATTTAATAAAATATATTTGGATTATTTAATTGACAGGTTATTCGTGAAAGCTAATCTTTTGATAGAGGATGTTCTCTAACAAAAGCTTCTTTGTATTCTTCCAAAGAATTTCCTTTTCTTGCAAAAAAATTCATAATACTTTGCAGCTGCATTTAAAGAAGTAAAGATTAGAAACTTGTGATTTCAGTGAGACACCAAGCCTCTCTGCCATCCATTCTTTAGAGATTCCCCCAAGGGCATGTCCATTTGGAGGGATGAGTCACATGTTACAACACCAAGAAAGTTAGAAGTTGTAGCTGAAAATACTTCTCTGATTATTTAAAGACATTTTGAGAAGTTTCAAATTGGATATACAGAAGGGTAATCTAATGAATTATATATGAGGTGGTTTTTAGTGCATGATTCTCCCACCCCTTTTTGAGAATTAAAAAAAAAAAAAAAAGACCTCCAGAAACCAGCAGATGGAGACCCTGAATAGGAGTCTTTATTCCTTTTGTTTGTATGTATCAGAATGCCTGGGAGGGAGGAGGTGGGTGGAAAGGAAGTGTCCTTGTCTGAGTTCTAAACTGCTGGAATTCTGACTTGTTTTCAAAGTGCTTGGGGAAAATATCACAAGCTATTTTGCAGAAAGAACTAAGCAGTACCCCAAAAGAGTCAGAAATGAGAAAACGAAAAGTCTGACCTGGGAATAAAGCTTTACCTTTTGAAGGAGAGGGACAATTGTGACAAGTCTAGAAAATATGGTCTAAAACTTCAACAAGAAATTGGAATATGTCGACACCAAAGTAAGGAGAAAAGCTTTTTTATAACTTCTGCACAGAATGGCTTGGGTCACATGGGGTCTAAAAAGGACAGAGCCACCCCCCTTCTCTTCCCCTCTATGTGGTCCCTACAGGTGGTCTGCAGGCAATGAGCAGTAGCTGTCTCTAGAGAGCCAGTGCAGTAGCTGAGCAAGAAATGCTAGGGGAATTTACATGCATTCTATTATATTAATTAAAGGTCATCATTCCTTTTATTAGACTGATTATACACAGGTAGGAATAGGTGCAGAGGAGAGGGAGAGGTTAAGTAATTCCCAGAAGGCAACCAGCAAGTAGTACAGGAGGGAATGTGGACTCCCTTAGAACTCCAAATCCTGTTTTTTCCATTCACCAGTCTACTTGATTCAGTTCCAGCTGGGGTTAAGTGAGGGTCACCATTTATGTTGCAAACCTTTTCAAAATTCACATTGTTCCTGAATAATCATGCATTTCAAATGTTCACTGTCCATGATGACTTCATTGTTATCATAAGGAGATAGTGTTATATAGATATATACAGGTGTTAGAAATTTACTTATATTTTCCAAATTGCATTTGAGAATTAAATGTGCCAAGCCAGCTTTTGAGTATCTGCCTTTTGGGATTCAATTCTTATACCCCAGTGCAAGAAAAGCTATTTCTATTTATTATTATCCATGCAACTGACTTTGGACTTAAACAAGATTTCCTATTATATCTGACATTTTCTAGGTATAATTTGCCATACTACCTGTTATGAAAATTTAGTGACCTTTACAAACTTAACTGTGGCCAAAAAAACAACAACAAAAAAAAAACTACCAAAACAATCGAAAGTGGCTGTAATTAAAACCAAGTTTCCTGACCCATGCCTGATAAGGAATACCTTAGGGTTTCATTTTAAAAATTTTGAAGAAGGAGGTTACGGCTGGAAGTCTACTCTTTAAAACAATTCAATGATATTTGTTAAAGATGATAATACAGAACTTACTTATAGGGAATTTTACATTGGGAGAGCTATGAGGCTTAACTTCAAATACACCACCCTCTGGGAATTTAAAACCCTGGGCTGTGGGTAAAAAGTTACTAAGAGAAAACAACAGGGGTAGGTGGTCAGGCTAAACCCACCTAACAGGATTCTAGCTGAAAACAGGCCAGGGCAATATAACCTGGGGGATGGTAGGGGAGAAGAAACCTAATAAAGTATTGAGGATGGTCAGATTTTGGGACTAGGGTTAGGTTCTGGTTAAACTGATTTAGGGTTATGACTAAAACAGGATTTTATAAGGAAGTGCACGGAGGTAGGAGCCCGACCAAAGTTTGACCAAGCAAAGAATCTTTGTCACTATCTCAAGTATTTCACATTTCTTGTAAGAGTTTTCCAGCGCTCTTTGGGTCCCAGCACCCAGTCTAGAGGAGTCTGGTCAACAGTCCACTAATTTCAGAGCAATTCTTGGAAAACGGAAAGCGTAGATGGGTAACAAGACTTAGACTGCTGGTGGGGACTGTGCAAGCACACGCACCCCAGCACTTTCCATCCAAACTCTCCTTCACCCTCCACAACGTATGAACCAAACCCACCAGGAGGCGGGGCCATAGCGCATTTAAATCCCCGAGGCCAAGCATTTGCCCCTCAAGGCACAAACCCGGGAGCAGGCTTGTGCTTCAGTTTATGGAAACTGGAAACAGGAGCGATGCGAAGGAGTGGGGGAAGCTGCTGAGAGGACGGGAACAGCGATGGGCTCATTCAGACGACCTCCTTCGCCCCACCTGTTCCCCTGAAAGGTGGCCCAGAATGAGTGTGTAAGGTGATGCTGCCCTGGGGAGGAGGGTCACGAGTTAAAGCACCGGAAGGAGCGAGGATGCCCTGGGCGGCGACTCGCGACCTCGGGAGCTGGTTGGACTGCCCTGAACTGATCTTCAGAGACTCCCAGAGCTACAAGCAGACATGCAGCGTCCACCTGCGGCCGAGAAGACTTGAGGCCTCCTGGGTCCATTGCTCTCAGGGGTCACCCCAGTTTTCCCTCGCCCGCACCCCTCGGCGCGCACCACGTCGCAGGTGAGCAGGGCTCGGCGCCGCTGGGAGGTGTCAGGTGTCGTGGGAACCGTGCCCACGGCGTTCGGGGAGGGACAGCGATGTCACCAGCCATCGGAGACCCGCAGCTGGAGGGTCGACGCCATGGAAGGGACGCAGGTGGGCGCAGGGTGCGAGCTGCGGAGGTTTGGCACAGCGCCCGCTCGGCCGCCCACTCAAGGTCAGTGGTGGCGCACGCTGTCCCGGGCCTCCGGCAGGCAGGAGCGAGTTGTGGGTGGGGAGATCGGCGCGCCCGGCACTTGGGGTGAGTCCCGACCGTAGCTTCAGAGGCTGGGAGGCTCTGCCGCGTGTCCCCAGCCCAGGCGGTCGCCTCCCGCTTAGCCTCCAGTAGGGAGCCGAGGACCAGTCGCCACCTGCTGTCCAGTGTCTGGTCGGGGAAGACCTAGGGAGGGTGCCCGTCTCGGAGCCGTCCGGGGCTCGAAGATGGTCTTGAAGTTGCACGAACAGCCTCTCCAGACGCGGCTTGTCCTTTATTAGTGGTGTAGGGGGCTGATGGAAATAAGAGCTGAAGCTGGGGTCTCTGGAGCTCACCAGGCTCTGGCCTGGAAGGAAGACGTGCTACTGCGGGATGCACTTCAGGACAATCGGGGTGGCCCCACACTCTGCCCCGATGAAATACCAGCCTGGTAAAGTCGGTTTGAGAGCTTGCCAGCCAAAAAACCCAAACAGACCAAAAACAAACAAACAAACAAACAAAACAAAAAAACCCAACCCCGAAGGAAAATAGAAAAAAAAGAATATGAGACCCAAGGTGTGTGTCTCGTGGTTTCCTGAAGAATGGAGGTAATGTTACTCTGAAGTCAGCTATGAGGCTTTTACATTTATAGAAACCCCCCCCCCAGTCTTTCTCTGATTTTCTGCAGCTCGATCCAATTAAACTAACCATCGTCATGAATAAGCAACCTCTGTGTTGGTTTGTAGATGCTAAGAATGAGACTTAACACCTCAGATTCTTCCCTGTGTCTCCACGGACCCCACATCCTGCATAGTGCTTCCTCCTGGGTGGGTGTGAAGGACTGTTTGCCAACTGTCCTTCCGTGGCTAGGGGTCTGGACAGGTTTTTTTTTTCTTCCTTAATGAGTTTTTATTGATCCTATCTTTCAATAATTTTAAATATACTGGGTTACATAAAATATTTTGTTAACATTAATTTCATCTTTTGTCTAATATGGCTACTAGTTACTTAAGTGGCTTGTTAGCATAGTTCTAGAATGTTCCTCCATTATTAGAACAGACCCCAAATTTCCTCTTCCTGAACTGTACACTTTCTTTCAATTTTATGTGAGGAATAATTATGTACTTTGGTGAAACAAAATTTGCAGTTTTTAATGTGCACACCTGGAAGGGCTTTTGTGACATGATATTCTAACATTTGTAGCAAGTTCTGCATGAAAGTCTTGCTTTTGGGACTATTTGGTGCTTTGTGCTAAATATATTCATGGTGGTGGCTCATTTTCTCTTTATTCCTGTGGGTTACTGTTACACAGTGTGTGACTAGCGTGTTTAAAGTTTAATTTTCCCTGTATCGAATAGGAAGAATTTAATTACCTCTTATCTGTAATTCACCAACATACTTCATTATTAACACCGTCAATATGTTTGTGTTGATTTGTTAGTTTTGATTAACATAACACCACCTTTGTTTTAAATTCCAGAGGTAAAACATATTTAAAATATCACACCTTTTTGAAGAAATATGTTCTTGAGTGAAAATCCTAGGGATTAATAATTTCTCTCCCTTATGTCCTTACCTAAGGAGTAAAGACATAACACATTTTAACAGCATTTTAACACACATAAGCCATACTTTTGTGAGTCCAATCACAATTTCATTTTGAGGGCATTGCATATATGTTTTCTGATCAGCCATATTCTTATTAATATTTCTGCTAATCAAGAGTTTTAAAAAATTTCCCCTGGACAGTTTTCAAAGCCAGTATCTGCTGCTTAGAGTTGCTGAGCTTGCTAAGAACGCTTAAATCAGAACAAAATGTTGGATTCTAGACTTGGAAAGCAATGTGCTACCTCAACCATGACTTGTCAGATATTATATGACTGTGGTTTGAGTCCTTCCCTCCCCACTTTAATCTCTTAGTAGGAGTTATAAAAATAACAGAATCAGAATTTTTTATTCTGTGTAGATGGACTCTACTCTCTCCAATAGCTTATGGTATTTTATTTTGAATAGGTCTCCATAATATCAATATTAGTTTGAGGGAAAATCCAAGATAGGTCCCAGATTCTGAATTAACTTCTTTGTCACTTTGCAAAAGCTGGCTAATAAGACAGTGAAAATGTCCCCTTGTTTTCAAAGGAACAAAGGAAATAATAGGTAGGAAATACTTTGAAATATAAAATGTGCTACATAAAAGCACTTTCAGTAAAAAGCAAATATGGAAGTGGCTGATTGGGATTTGGACTAAACTGAGCTCTGCATGCCCCTTTGTACAACAGTAGGTTTTCCTGGGCTCTCATTGCTTCCTAAGAAACTTGTTGGCTATTTAAGAAGCTGATCTGTCTGCTGGGGTGGTAAGGTAAGTGGGGCTACTTGTTTAGTGTTGGACCCTATGAATGGCTTTATTTGCATTTCAATTTAATGGTCACTAGAATCATATGAGGGTGGGTATTGTTATTCCCATTTTGCATAATAGAGAATTGAGGCTCAAAGAGACTGGCTGAGTGACTTGCCTAAGGTCTCAGAGGTGTCATATATATTATTATATACTATTATTGTCTACATTTATGTAATACTATCTATATAGTGTAGGGGCAGGAAGGACCACTGAGCAGGTTTTCTATGATCCAGCAGACCGGGAAAAGGAGGAATCAGAGTCCTCAGTGGTTTTTTGCAGGTCTTTTATTGGGGTTCACCAGGCATGGCAGGCAGGGGTGCTGGGGGCCGGGAGGCTGGTAGTCCTCCCAGCCCCTAGCAACGCCTCACTATCTGGGCTTTCCGGCCTTCTCTCGGCTTCTGCTTCTCTTGCTTCTCTCTCTGCTTCTATTTCGGCTTCTCCTCGGCTTCTGCTACTGGCATCCCTGTGACGCCGCCCTTAAAAGTCCAGTCTCTCAGCCCAGGTGTACCCACTTCAGGTACCTGCTATCAGGCATGCATTCAGGACCGCAGGGTTCCCTCATCTATCCTAATGGCGGGAGGGCAGAAAAGCCTGATACCTTTTACCCACCCTACAACTAGGTGTGTACATGTAATCTTAGTAATTACTAATAGGAGCAGCCCTGGTATGTGGTAACTTTCAATTGAGTGAAAATTCACTTAGTAACTGAAACAAATAGAAAAACTTCTGAAGTACAGTTTAGAACAAGGGTGCTTATTTGAAATTAGATTTGTTCTATCTCTTAACTTCTTGCAATAGCAAATATAGATTTGTGCCTTTTCCTGCAGAATGGAAACAGTTTTTTTCTTTCCTGTAGAGATGGCAAATCCTGAGGTAGTAATAACTAGCTGTAGTCCTCGCGAAGATGAAAATCACTGCACTTTTAACCAGCACACATCCCCTTCTGAGGAGCTTCTATTAGAAGACCAAATGAGGCGGAAACTCAAATTTTTTTTCATGAATCCTTGTGAGAAGTTCTGGGCTCGAGGTAGAAAACCATGGAAACTTGCCATACAGATTCTAAAAATTGCAATGGTGACTATCCAGGTAAGCATCTCAGATCATAAGTTTGGCAAAAGTCTCTTTTAAGAGGACTTATGGACAATGGTTTTAACTTTTAACCACATGTATGATGGAGAACAGTAAATAAGGAGTTCTTAAACTCTTCCCTCTACAATATTTGTGAAAGAAGACCGGGGTTTTATTTTTTACATTTTTCCTTTTTGTCTTTCACTAAGTTATCATTTTAGTCACATAATCCTAATTAGTTTCCAGGAAAAGAAAATTTTAATGTTTGACTTCCAATCAAGAGATTTAGCTAAAGGTTTCTAAATTGGCTATGGAAATTAGATGTTGCACAACCAGAGGATTCTTCTCCTTCCTAGTTGGTTTCCTGGGAATTTTCTCTCTGTAAACTTCAAAGGTTTCTGTTAAGGCAAGTACTTGGATTCTCACAGCCCAGTGATCATGGGAACCTTGCAGTAGAAGAATGTGGAGCTATCGAAAAAGGAATGACTCATTTTAAGAGACTTTGATTTTGCTGTCCTTGACTTAAATTTTTTTTTTTTTGGAAACCATATTGTGTGCTCCTTTATAAATACAAGTTGTGATTTACTCTATGAAGATGTGTTTTTCTGCTGGTGAAAGTAATTATCTCTGTTAAAAGTAAAAGGGCAAAAATAAAAGTGGACTTTAATGGGAAAAATAGATGTGATATGTTTGTTATTATCACTTTCTCTTAATTTGGGGAAAATGACATAAGTAAATATACATTGGTATCTAAGTAGAAATGTTTTTTAAAATTCTGAAATCACTAATGATTATTGGAAACAAATGCTTAAATTGTTAGAAGCTAAGGTGATTTCTTTAATTATATGAAGTTGGTAGAATTCTTGGCTAACTTTCTGATACAGGAGTTTTGTAAAGGAAACTCATATTTGAGTGACTATTCACCTATGTTGTTTTTTGTAAGCGAGGGGGAGGTACTCATATATTTGTATCAGTTGAATATGATAGGTATTCAAGTGATAGCTAGCACTTGAATATTTGTTATGTTTTGAGCTAAACATTTTATAGGCATCATCATGTTCGACTTTAAAAACAAACTTGCTGTTCAAGGTATCTCCACTTCACAGATGAGAACATTGAGACTTAGTAAAATAACTGGTCATAGTCAGGAAACAGGAAGAGTAGGACTGCAATTCAAGCTCAGATTTCATTCCCTTTTAAGATTTATGTTCTTACACTTTTTAGGGAGCTCATCCAACCTGTTTCCTAGGGTGGTCAGAGAAAAATTGACCAATGCTCTTAAGGTAGTAAGCCTGACAATAGTAAACATGTAAAAAGCATATGGGTAAGGTTTTTTTTTTTTTTTTTTTTTTAAGGAATTGAGGGCTTCTAAATTGCAATGTTTCCTATACCTGAGCAATCAAGCAAGTATTGCATAAAGACAACTTTATAATTGAGTAAATAAGGATGACTTAGTGATGGAGTTCCTCTTCTTGGGAAAAAGAAGGTAGTCTGTCTGTGAAGTTGGAGATTTTGTGTCTGTATCAGCAAAAGAAAGATGTCTACAGTGATAGGCATCCTAATAAAAGCTTCTCTTCTCCCACTACTGACTCTGGCTCTGAAGTATAGCAATTCCCTCTCTGCCACTGTACTCCTGTCTGCCACCAGGTCCTTGAGGCAAGGGAACATTGTCTTCTCGTATCCTCAGTACCTAGTTCAATGCTGGCATGTGGGAGGTACTCATTTATTTGAATCAAGAACATCTTTGGAAATTCTCTGGAGTTTTTTGATCACCAATTTCAATAGATGTGAAATACCTGGAACACCAAGCTATCCTCTAATTGACATATAAGTAGGACACTTAACTTAAAGAGACAATTCAGAAGTGGGGATAGAGTTAGGTGGAGAGTGGTGACGTGTGTAGTACAGGGTATACCTCACAATGGGAGGTCAGCATGGGGCAGATCCATCTGTTCTCTATTTCCCAGTCACACCCTGGATCACGTTTTGTAGCATGGCAGGATGGATAGCGCTTGGATTTAGTCTGTTAGATGAGTTCAGATGAGTTCAGTTTTCACTATGTACATGGAAGTGATGTGGCTTGAAGAAATTAACTTCTCTGAACCTTTCTGTACTCATTTCATTACTTTTTCATCTGCTGACTTGCTGACTTTTTCTTTTTTTTTCTTCTTTCAAGTTGGTCTTTTTTGGGCTAAGTAACCAGATGGTGGTAGCTTTCAAGGAAGAGAATACTATAGCATTCAAACACCTGTTCCTAAAAGGATATATGGACCGAACGGATGATACATATGCAGTGTATACACAAAGTGATGTGTATGATCAGATCATCTTTGCAGTGAACCAGGTAAATCAAATATGTACATTCTTTATTTGGAAGAAAGCACAGGAGTGGAAAATTGTAGTGTTGTGCTTGATAGAAACCAACATTCAAGTGTAGAAGGACAAATATTGATGTAATGACATGTATAAATGTATAAAATTTTTTTTATTTTTAAAAAAGATTTACTTATTTATGTATACAAGAACTGAGATATAGGCCAGAGGTGTGGGGGGTGAGAGGATTCACCACAGACAGAGTGGGGAACAGAACAGGCAGATTGACTGCAATACACTGCTGAGGGGAGCAGCGGGTGAGACAGGAGAGGTCTGCTGTGCCATGTGGGTAGCTCCCTGGCCGGGGATCAAACTCGTGCTGCAGTGACTGCAGCTAGCTTCATAGGTTGCATCTTAACCCCTTGTGCCACCAGGGAGGCCCTGAAATCACTTTAAAATTGTTATTTCAAAATATTGCCAATAAAGCTAGGAGTCAAGAAAGGTTTTTGTTTTGTAACAGAGAGACAGAAACTTCAAAGACTTAACTAAGAGAACTGGAGTTAGGATTTGGCATGGGAACCTTAAAGATTTAAAATAATTAGCCCATGACCCTGGTTGTGAGTAGTCATTAAGTCTTCAGGGTTTAATTAATATTTTGGAGTTTCCTTAACAAATAATGAGATTATTAATTTTGCAGACTCATATGATTTTGTAGAAAGTAGCAACCAAGACCTTAAAGTTCATTGTAAAAATAAGTAAGGCCTTTATGTGATCTATGACAATGACTGTATTGTAATACTCACCAACTGCCCCAAAAATAGTAAGCTTGTTTTTTGACTAGTAAAATTCCTTTTCTGAGTTTCTAATCAATTTGTTTTTGCTATCAACAGTTCCTTTTGAAGAGCCTAAATATCTTATTTCAGAGGTGTCATTGAAAGTGTTCTTGAAGTCAGTTACTTCTAGACTGAATTTGTTTGCAGACTGCATTTCAGAATTATAAGTCTTCCTCAAAATATTAGCATTCTGCAATCATGCCTCTTCATTATTTAGAGATAATCTATGTACTGTAAGATGGTAAACTGCTAGGATAAAATCTGAATTTATGATACTAAGGCTTTCTGTTAGCATGTAAGCAATGCTTTTGTTAAACATTTAGTTAGTTTCAATTTACACAATTGTGAACCCTTATTCACTCTTCTGTTTCTTCTTGGTTTAGTGTTGGTAAACTATAGTGTTCTAGAAATTTGTCCATTTTTTCAAGGTTATTGAATTTATTGGACTATGCCAAAATTGGTATCAGGTAAAACCACAGGGAACTACAACTAATACCAGGCAGGGGATCAAAACTGATAACTGGGCAAAACTGAAATGAATGTAACCATCTTGTGAGTTCTATAAGGAAACTAGATGTGGTGAGAGGCCAGGTTGGAAGCAGGAAGACCATTTCAGAGGCTTAATTTATCCAGGTGAGAGATGCAGGTGGTGTGGACTAGGGCAGTAGCAGTGAAGACGATGAGATGTAGTCAGACTGGTAATAATTTGAAAGTAATGTGTGATTTCCAGATGGATTGGAAGTGAAGTATGAAAGAGGGGGAGGGAGTAAATGGTCATTCCTAAGTTTTGACCTGACCAGCTGATTGGCTTACAGAGTTGTTTATTGAGAAGGGAATTATTGTGAATGAAGTGGTTTCTATGTACAATTATGTTTAATGTTTTTCTTATATACCATAGTGTCATGTAGAGAGATTGCTATCCAAGTTTGGAATTCAGTGCTGAGGTCAAGAAATGTAAAATTGGGACCTCCCAGGTGGTGCCAGGGGTAAGACACAGCACAATGAAGCAATCTGCAGCCACTGCAGCATGAGTTAGATCCCGGGCCAGAGAGGTGACCCACATGGTACAGCAGACCTCTCCTGTCTCACCTGCTGCTCCCCTCAGCAGTGTAATTTAGCACATCTGCCTGTTCTGCTCCCCACTCTGTCTCTGGTGAATCCTCTCACCCCCCGCATCTCTGGCCTGTACCCCAGTTCTTGTATGCATAAATAAGTAAATCTTTAAAAAATATTTTTAAAAAAAGAAATGTAAGTTTGGAAGTTGTCAGCATGTAGATGGTGTTTAAACATGGGCCTGAAATCAAGAGATCATTTATGGAGAGAGTATAAATAAAGAGGTCCTAGACTGAATCCTAGGGCACGTGGAGATGTAGAAGTTGATGAAAAGAGGATTCAGCAAAGGGGCCTGAGAAGGAGCAGTCTATATCTCAGAAGTCAAGTATCCCATGAAGGGGAAAGCTCTCAATTGTTCAAACACCATGGAGAAATTAAGTTAGGTGAGGAGTGAGAACTAAGCAACAGATCTGGATCAGTATGCTCACTTGCCAGTGAACTCAACAAAGCTGAGCTCAACATTCATCCCACAGACCGAGATTATAAATGATTTCTTTCATTTATCATAGTGTGTTTCACATGTAGCTTTTTTTTTTTTTTTTTTAAGATTTATTTATTTATGCATACAAGAGCTGGGATACAGGCCAGAGATGCAGGGGTGGGGGCGAGGGCGGAGGTGGGGGCAGAGGAGAGGATTCACCACAAACAGAGCCGGGAACAGAACAGGCAGACAACCGAAATACACTGCTGAGGGGAGCAGCGGGGAGACAGGAGAGGTCTGCTGCACCATGTGGGTTGCTCCCTGGCCTGCCAGGGATCGAACTTGTGCTGCAGAGGCTGCGGATTGCTTCATAGTGCAGTGCTTAACCCCTTGCGCCACAAGGGAGGCCCTCACATGTAGCTTTTAATAGAATTTTTTTTTAAAGATTTATTTTTTATTTATTTATACAAGCACTGGGTACAGTCAGAAGCACGGGAGGGTGAGAGAATTCATCAGAGCCAGAGCGGGGAGCAGAGCAGGCAGACTGACAAAGTACACTGCTGAGGGGAGCAGCGGGCAGCAGGAGAGCGGGCGGCAGGAGCAGCAGGCGCCATGTGGGACCCTCGCCAGTGGCCGGGGATTGAACCAGTGCTGCAGAGACTGCAGGCAGCTTTGTAACCCAGCGCTCAACCGCTGCTCCACCAGGGAGGCCCAATAGAATTATTTATGAACCCGTCCCGCTAAATTATTTATTCCAAGAGACAGATATCACATCCTTATCTTTGTATCACCAAGGATACCGAACCACATTGTTCACAGTCAACTCTGTGTTTTCTATCTGCACATACCCATTGCTTTCAAGTTGACAGTTATTTCAAGATACCACAAGATTCATTTGTAAAAGTAACATTTTATTTTATTTTACTTAGAGGATTCAGTAGGAAAAGGGAATGCTGCTATAATAATAGTGACTAAACTGTATTCTTACAAAGGTAAAGATAAAACATAATTTTTTAGAAAAAGCTTCTTGGCTAGCCTGAAACAATTCTATTCCACTTCCTTTGTTATAGTAGTAAAGTAGAACTATGACTTTACAGGAAATAGTTCAAACGTAATAAAGGGGCCTCCCTGGTGGCCTAGGTGTCAAGTCTTCGCTCTGTCACTTCTACTGCCTAAGTTCCATCCCCAGCCAGGGAGCTAACCCACAAATGGCACATCAGACATCTCCTGTCCAGGCTGCTGCTCCCATTAGCAGTGTATTTCAGTAGATCTGTTTGTTCTGCTCCCCACTCTGTCTCTGCTAAGTCCTCTTATCCACTGTATCTCTGACCTACACCCCAGTTCTCCTATGCAAAATAAAATAAAATAAAATTTACACTGACTGTAAAATCAGTTCCTGAACATAGTTCTTTAAAGGAGGAAAGACTGTCAAGGATTGTATGGTTTAGGTCTTTTATTTTTCAGATAGGGAATAAGAGAGAAGCTCTGAAAGTCTGTAACTTGCCCAAGGTACTAAAATAAAGCTAAAGCTAAGAACTTTTATTCACTCGTGCTCTGAGCACCCTCCCCTCCCCACCACCCACCCTCCTGGTGTTTCACTTAGTCTGTATGTCAACATGAATGTCTTCACACAGAGGAGAGAGAACTTACTAGTTTCTAATGTAGGGAAGGAGGGGAACCATGGCTTCATTTCTGCCCTGGGTGGTGTACACATTTTCTGTTTTTCTTTTTGGTTGAAGTACTTGCAGCTACGCAACATCTCAGTTGGGAATCATGCTTATGAGAACAAGGGTGTGGAGCAATCGGCTATGGCAATCTGTCAGCGCTTCTACAAGCAAGGAAACATCTGTCCTGGGAATGACACCTTTGATATTGATCCAGACATTGAAACCGGTGATGTTCTTCTAGAGCTAGAACGTCCATTTTTAACTCCTTGATTTATATTTAAAATTAGTCATTTCAGCTCTGAAGACATTGATTTGGTTCAGTCTATTAGGTTACAGTAAGAACCATATAGGAGTTATTATGTGTCAGGTACTGTTCTAAGCCCTCTACTACAACTCATGCATGTGCATGTGCACACACACACAAACGCACACACACTACAGAGTTTGTTATTATCCTTTTTTTATAGAAGACTAATGTATGGCTCTCTGAGGTAAGTGATCTTTTCATTTTAGAATTGGTAAGAGACAGTGTTTAAATTTGACCCAGTGCATCTGTGCTCTTAACCACTATATTCCACTGTGTCTCGTGCTGGATAAGCCAATTAAATATTCAGACACTATCTTTACAAAGCATTATGCTTGCAAACCCTTGATGTATATAACACCCACTCCGTAGCACTTAACTATTCAGTATCTTTGGGGGAGAATGAGAACCAGAAACTGGAATAACACAGTTAATTCTTTCTAACAAAGTTCTATTTGCAGTCTGTACCTAAAAGTTTTTATTGAATTAAAAAAAATAAGTATTCAAATACTTTTCGCAACAGTCACTGTGACTTTTTTCTTTCTTTCTATTTTTTTAGAAGGACAGTAGAGTTCTGATTAGTGAATACCTTCTAAAATGCTTTCCTTTTTAAGTGCCTATTAAGGAAAAATTGTCAGCACATTAAAAAAAACCAGTCTCTAAACTTAGAAAACCTTGACTTAGGCACTACAAATGCTTCAAACCTATACCTAGGGTACAAAAAAAGGGTGGAGGGACTCAACGTTTAGACTTAAAAAGACAAGAAGAAAGAGAACATTTTATGGAACGCTAATGAAAAAGTGTTCAGACCTTTGTCTACCTTCTACCTACTTCAGAAATGTCAGAGAAATTTATGTCTTAAAAACAACTGTCGTCATTCACAAGTGATACTGATTAACTTTTAAAATCTTAACTCAGAAAAATACTAGAATGGGAATAGCTAGTCTTAAATATATTATCCTTTCTAGGTACAGTTTTATCTTAGGTGCTATCATATATTTTGTTCCTTTCTATGGCAGAATGTTTCTTTATAGAGCCAGACGAACCTTTCCACATAGGAACACTAGAAGAAAATAAACTCAACTTAACACTGGATTTTCACAGGTAAGGGAAGCAGATAGGAGTAGCTTGTTTGAGTGTATCTGTTTCACTGCACTGAAGCCTCCTTTGTTTTTCAGACTCCTAATGGTGGAGCTGCAGTTTAAACTGAAGGCCATTAACCTTCAGACTATTCGTCATCATGAACTTCCTGACTGTTATGACTTTACCCTGACTGTAAGTGGGGACTGGACTGAATTTGGTTCTGATCTGGGGAAACAATTTTTTTTTTTTATCTAGTTATAGGTTTCATCTACTTTTATTAAGGTGTGATGATCAAATATGCAAGTTGTTTCCACTTGAATGTGCTTAGGGAAGCCTTAGGACAGTTGGCTCTGTTTTGGTGTAGAAAACTTTGGACTCTTTGACTACCTGTTTTCTGCACCTCAGCGTAAGTTCTGTGAGACTCGGGACCTTGCTTTGTTCACTATTGTGTCTCATGTGCCAAGAACAATACCTGGTGGCACAGAGTTGATGTTCAAATACAAAAGGAACAGGAGTTTGTAGGTGCTGTACAGCTGGTTCTTACTTAGCAGTGCATGGAGAGCTGGTTAAGGTCACTGCCAAGGGCTCTTGTTACTAAGTTTCCTTACTGTGGATGTTTGCTGACTTTGGTTATTGCTCACAGTGCGTTTTGTTTTGCTGCCTCTGAGTCTCTGGGTATTTTCTCAGCTCACCCTGTCACTACTATGTTGTCTGTATTCCAGTTGCAAATGGTGCTTTAATGGTCTATAAAGAGCACAAGATGCCTCTCAGTAGAATTTGCTACTGCATGAAGTTCAGGGTCAGTGACCCAATGTTGTGTGGGCATGTATGCCAGACAGCGTTGGTACAGCTCACCTTCATATGATCTGGATTTTACTACTTCAGCAGTAATTTGTAGCAAAAGCGATTTCCATGATATTCAGTTAATTAACTGTGAGAAATCAAGCTTTCAGAGATTGTGGTTTTAAAAAATTCAGAATATAGTGTATATAATAATTATTCATATGATTTAACAAGAAAAAGCACTAAAACTATGACTGCTTTGATTAGACTACATATTTTGATACCAATATTAACCAGCAAGTTATGAATGTGCAATATTACTTTTTTTTAATTGAGCTATTTTCCAGGCTCATCCATCTTTTCTTCTTTCTTCCTTCTACCTCCCTACTCCACAAATTGAGAAATAGTACTTTTCAAAATTTGTATGTACCTTCAAGGCTTAACTTAACTGACACCTCCTTTATGGACCCTTTTGTGATTCTTCAGTTAGAAAGTACATTCTGCACTCTGAACTCCTAGGTTTTGTTTTTGTTTATGATTTTATACTTGTATGGACTTACCAACTTCTCCATTGTTTTAAAAGTTTCTTGGTGTTTATCATCAGCTCTACTAGATTAAAAGCCCCTTGAAGGCAGGCACCATTTTATTAAACTTTAAAAAAAAATATTTTATTTATTTATATTTATTTTACATCTTTTTTTTTTTTTTTACAATGTTTGCTTTCTTTTCTCAGGTGTAGTCCCCATAGAATTCCCACCACCAATTCACCCATGCACCATCACCATAGTCCCTTATACTCTTCCGGCCCTCATTTTGATCCCTCTCCCTCTTCCTCCCCTGTAGAATGTCTCTGATTTATAGTTCTGTTAATTTTTGTTTTGTTCTGTTGTGTTTTTTATTGTTATAATTTTTTCCCCATGATCCCTTATTTGGTTCCTCTCTCTCTCTCCTGTAAGTGAAATCATTCAATATTTTTCTTTTTCCTTCTGACTTATTTCACTGAGCATAATCCCTTCTAGCTCCATCCATGTTGCTGCAAATGGTATTAGATAATCTTTTTTGATTGCTGAATAGTATTCCACTGTGTATATATACCACATCTTCTTCATCTAGTCATCTATTTTTGGGCATTTGCGTTGTTTCCAAGTCTTACCTATTATAAATAGTGCTGCAATAAATACAGGGGTGCAGGTATTCTTTTGAATTAATGTTTTTGAGTCCTTTGGGTAGATCCCTAAGAGTAGAATTGCTGGGTCATATGGTAGCACTTTAGTAACCTTTTCATCCCTCAAAGAACATAGTAGGTGACTCAAATATCCATTGAATGAATAAATGGAACACTTGTGAAATTCAGATCTATTTCAATGATTCCATAGTGTCAAAGCAAGATGGCCTGTTGACACATGCAGATGTCACATTTTTGTCATTAATGTAGAATCATATCAAGTTATTCCTGCACAATGCAGGAAAAACTGTCAGTTGGGCAGTGCATTTCATGGAATTATAAAATTATATCCTGTGAGGTAATTTACAAATAAAAAACATCAGGGCAACTTCACTGTTATAAGTAACATGATCCAGGGCAGCTTACATGCAGGACTTTAGAGTCTGACAAGCCTAGATTTTTTTAATCTATTTTTTTCACATTGTTTTTATTGAGGTAATATTGGGTAACAACATTTTATATGATTTAAGTGGTATAGGTTCGCAATCTTCACTGCCTTTACCACCAAGGCACTCAGTATCTTCTACTGTAATACATAGGGCCTCTCCATCAGGGTGTTCCCCCTTCCCTCTCTGGTAGCCACCAACTTATAATAAGATTTCTAGGATTTATTTTGGTTTAGTTTTTCTGTTCCATGTTTTATTTCTCTGTATTCTACTTGTGAGTGAAATCATCTGGAATTTGTCTTTGCAAATGTCAAGATTTCCTCTCTTTTTTATAGCCAAGTAGTATTCCATTATGCGTGTGTGTGCATGTGTGCATGCTTTCACGTGCAACATCATCTCAATCCATTCATTTTCCATTGTACATTTAAGGTGTTTCCATAAACTAGAGAAGTCTACATTTTCATTCCAACTCACCAATTAGACTTTCATAGCACATACTTTCATCTTTTTTCTTCTGTGGTTCTTTTTGGATAGTTACTATCCATTGTCTTCAATTTTTGTTCTCCCCTATCTAATATGCTGTTAGTTCCATCCATTCTTTTTTCTCCTTTGAAGAATTAAGATTCTTTTAACTTGCTGAGATGTGATTGGCATTAAGCCGAAGTTTATTTACTAAACAGATATTTAATGAGCAGTTACCATTATAAGATCCTGAGGATTTTTGTGTGGGTAAACATACTTTCTCCTTGGCATGGATTTCTGACTCATTGAAATAATACTGAGCATCTTCCTTGTGTGAGGACATGGGCTGGGTCCTCCACAGCTGTGGAGATGGGCAGACACTGATAATGCCTGTGATTGCTTGTTAAGGAAAGAAGCTTGTAATCTAATGTGAGTTATTAGACTCATTAAATTTATTTGAAATCTTATATCTGAAGTGATATCTGATTTTCCCCATGAAGAGACTTCATTAAAACTCACATGACAGATTTTTAAAGAACTTTTTTTCATTAGGATTTGGGAGAGAAGGCTCTAAAAATAAACAAAAACAATGTTAATTCCTTTCCCTTCCTCTCCAAGTCCCTATATGGGGAAGTAGAGGGAATGGGGAAAACAGAAAGACTATGAAAGGCATGACTTTGTTCTACTCGTGTCTGGTGTCCTGAAAGAGTTATCCTGAGAGCAAGAGAAAGCTGTTGATTCCCAGTGACCACTTTATAATACATCCCATTCTAGAGTGACAGAGGCCTGGGCTAGAATGAAGTCAGAAAAGCTTCACCTGAAATGTCTCAAGACTAAAATAATGAAACTCTGTGTTAGTAAGGATTACGGTAGCACCAAAAATCTGTCCCCAAGGTCCTTCTAGCAGGTAGGGAAAGCCCCTGTTGTATCAGTTCTTGTTCATATCAAAAGGGCAACTTAGTGTTACTTAGAATTGGGGGTGGGGGGATTCTTGTTTTTAAAGTTGTCCAGAGTCTATATTCTCTCCTAGAAACTGAATTTTAGAGACTAGAAGTTCTTTATATAACATCTAGTTTAACAATTTCAGTTCACGGAGAAATAAGGGAACTTCCCAAGATTGAAAAGAGCAACAGGTTAGGGATGAAAATCTGGGCCTCCTATCATTTTGAAAGAATTGTTTCCTAATTAATACACAAATGGATCTTGGTTTCAAAAACTATGGGTATGTTTTTGACCTTTTCCCTCTTCTTCACAGATAACATTTGACAACAAAGCCCATAGTGGAAGAATTAAGATAAGCTTAGATAATGACATTTCCATCAGAGAATGTAAAGACTGGCATGTATCTGGATCAAGTAAGTGATGAGTTTAACGAGTTTTCAGAATGGTTATTAAATTACTCAGGAATTCATGGAGAATCAAAGGAAAGAATTGGACCATTAGGCTTATTCCATACCAAAAAAACAAAATCAAAAAAATTCCCAACCCCCCCAGCAAAAAAACCCCACATATATGACTAAACCAATATTTATTGATGAATACATAAGTATTCATCTACATTATCCACATTTTAATATTTTAAACGTCCTTCAATAGGCAGCCTTTCCCTGCTCCCACCCACTCCACTCCACATAACACCTCCCCCTTTTTTTTTAACAAATAAAGAAACTAAGGCTCTGAGATGAATCTTAGTGTCTGTGATCATACAGTCAGGGAGAAATCAGGTAGGATCTGATTCTGAAGTATCCTGTAGATTGTCCTTGTCTTCTGTCCAGGTTAAAATGTAGGCTAAGTGAGGAAAGTCTCTATTCCTAGAAATATGGATGCAAAATCAGATACAAAATGAGAATATTGCTGAGAATTTTGGAACTGAAATAGAGAAAATTGGAAAGAATTTATGTATCTCATTTTCTAGTCCCTTGTAAGTAACATAATTATATGTTGTGCTTGACTTACTCAGTAGATCAAGAGTTTTCAGATTCTGATGAGTACAACAATCATCCCATTTTTCTGCTAAAATGCAGTTTCTTCAGCTCTACAAAAGACAGTCAGTCAGAGGTCTGGGGTGGGGCTGAGGAATGTGCAAATAAGCCTTATTCACCCCATACATGGATAATAATTGCCTAGGGATTTTTTGTGATTAAGTTATAGTTCAGAAGTAGTAATGAGGAATAAGAGTAAATAAAATGAAATTTGGTCATTGTAACATTTTTTTTTCACTAGTGACTTCCTCTTAAATCACAAACTTTTATTTCAATCACAAAATCACTTATTTAAAACACACACCTGTTTTATCCTGTGTTACTACATCTCCATTAACTTTAGAATAGGGAAAATGAGAGCTTATAGAAGTTTCTGGCACACAGGCTTTCTCTCAAATGTTTGCTTCTTGGTTTTTCAGTTTTTCTAAAGTATATTTAGACATCGGCATAACAATTGGATACCTGGCAAACATTAATGGAATGCTTCATTACAGAACTAGTCTTAATGCTTTATCTTTTTGTCAGCATAGAGCAGTCTAATTATTGAATAGAGAGCAGCTTTGTTGCAGAACAGCTGGCCCTGAGCTGTCTGCCTCCCCCTCACCTGGCTCCATGCATGCTGGCCCGACTCTCATTGCAGTTCTCCAAGCATCTTTGCCTGGTCGGCTCAGTCTCCTCACTCAGGTCTCAGCCAAAATCCACTGCCTCCTTGGTGAAGCCTTCCTTTATGATGCAGTACGAATGAGCTCTCTTCTCCCATTCACCAACCTCCTTCTTCGAAAGCTATGATTCATTGCTCCTGAAGAGTTTTTGAATATGCAGTTTCTAATTCAGGGTATAGAACAGGACAGGAGAATGTACATTTCTTTTTTTTTTCAGTTTATTTATTTATGCATAAGAACTGGGGTACGGGCCAGAGGCATGGAGGGGTGCGAGGATTCACCAGAGAGAGAGTGGGGAACAGAACAGCCAGATCTACTGAAATACACTGCTGAGGGGAGCAGCGGGTGAGGCAGGAGAGGTCTGCTGCGCCATGTGGGTAGCTTCCGAGAGATGCTGGGGATCATTAATATAGAGAGCAGGGTGCTGGGGACAGACCACACAAGTTTGAATCCTATCTTTGTTGTTCCTTACTGTGTAACCTGGACAAGTTCTGCAGCCCCTCAGGGCTTCAACTTTTTCACCTGCTCAATGAGGATAGTCATGCCCATCTCCTGGATAACTGTGAGGATCAAAGGAGGCAGTACCTATAAAGTGCTTAGAACTTTGATTGGCAAGAAATGCATTCAACACACTGGCGATTGTCACTCCTTTACTTCCCATCACTTACTCCTGTCTGAAATGTTTTGTTCATTCACTTGTTTCTTTCTTTGCTTGTTTTGCTGTAGTTGAAGTTCTATGATAATGGGGGCTTATTTGCCTTGTTCTCCACTGTGTCCTCAGAATCTAGAAAAACACCAGCTGCAGAGTGGACACTCAAATATTGGGTTGTCAGAAAAGTCATGATGCATTTTTGCATACAAAACAGAAAAAAATGTGTTATGACTTTTCTGACAACCCATAATTATACTTAGTATATTTTAAGAAGATATTTAGGGAGAGGCTGACTGTATTAAGAACAGAAGACCACAAGCTATCTGAAGTTTTTGATTGATAGTTTTCAGAAAAAAAGAACTTTTAACTTTGTTTGAAAACCAATAAGAAGAATTTATCAGGACTTTTTCCTGTGTCCTCTTTGTGGGAAGAGTTTGAATTATCCAAAATTCTTCTAAAAAGAGCATGAAGTATCCATATATAATTAAAAATACTTCTGAAGGGCAGATTGAACCAATGGAAAGATACCAGGTTTTGAACAAGAGGCTCAACTGCTTGAATGTCAATTTTCCCTAAATTAATAAATTTAACATGATCCCCCTCTCTCTCAATTATCAGTAAGATTTTTACTGGAACTTGACAATCTGATCTTAAGGAATATATTAAAAAGTAAATAAGCAGGAACACCTAGCAAAATTTTCAAAAAAGAGTAATAATAGGTCTTTGGCATAGGCATTAAAACACAAAAACATCAAAAAGGTAAGCTATGGAACTTGAATACATACAGTAATTTGATACATGAAAAAGATGCATTTCAAGTCACTGGGAATGATAATTTGCCCTTTCGATCAGCAAAAGCTCAAGATTACTCATGTCCAGTGGTAGAGAGGATGTGGAGCTATGTAAACACGCAAAATCTTTTTGGAGAACAATTACTAGAATTGCTGTTTGGAGACATATGATCTGTGTTAACCCAACAATCCCACCTGTAGATACTGGCTCATGAATCATTTGCACTTGTGGACACAGACGATTTGTAGAACTGTTTTTAGTGGAGAAAATAGATTACAGTCCAAGTGTCCATATAAATATTGTACATTTATAATGCAACGTGACAATTAAAAAAGGCTAAAAACGAAAAGAAAATTAGAAGTAGAAGTTTCCATTTAATGTCCTCCTACATTGAGCATATAATCCTCTTTCCTTCCAGTTCAGAAGAATACTCATTACATGATGATCTTCGATGCCTTTGTTATTCTGACATGCGTGGCTTCATTAATCCTCTGCCTTCGATCTGTGATTAGAGGGCTTCAGCTTCAACAGGTAGGAATTGTTGCTTTCTAGAAATGCGATGGATATTTTGATTTAACAGGGAAATTCACTCTGCTTTCCTTTTCTCCCTGAAGGAATTTGTCAGTTTCTTCCTCCTCCACTATAAGAAGGAAGTTTCTGTTTCTGATCGAATGCAATTTGTCAATGGATGGTACATTATGATTATTATTAGTGATATATTGACAATTATTGGATCAATTCTGAAAATGGAAATTCAAGCAAAGGTAATTTTTTTTCTAGTTTTGCTATCATTAATATCAGATAAATGGTACCAGAATGTGAGAATCAGTAGAGTAAGTCATTTTTTATTCAAACATTGTATCTCCCTTCTGTACCAGTCAGGGTGGGTTTCCAGCTTGGCCATTCACTCGATTTCACAGTCATTCAGGGACCCATCTTGTTTCTCTGCCAGTCATTAGGGCCTTGTCTGGACTGCATGATGTTGCTGGGTCACTGCATAGATTGCAGCCCATGGGAAGGGAAAACCATCCTATGGTGTAAGTTCTCCCACAGTTGTATAACTTTTGCCTGGAGGTGACTGATATCCTTTCGGTCCACATCCCACTAGAGACAATTTAGTCACATATAGCTTCCAGGGACCCTGGCAATACAGGCCAGACCTGTGCCTGGGAAGGAAAAAAATGGGGTTAGGTTGACATTAAGCAGCTGCTACCATACCTGAGCTGTAGCGTATGTCATTGAAATAGAGGGTTAACTTTAGGGAAAAGAAGAGAAGGGGTGATTTGATTTATAGAACATCTTTATTTTTTACCACCCTCAACTATTTCAATGAGCCCTTAGTGGTGTCCAACAACCTCTCCACTTTTTTCTAGACCATTCACTCCCCCTGTCTTATAAATGTCATGTGTACTGTCTGTCCTGAAACCTCTGACACTGCTGTCCCATCCTCACTTACAGCTGATGATCTTACTTCTGTTTCATAAACAATTGAAAAAATTGAACAGCCACAAACTCCCACTTCTTTTATCTACCTGCCAGCACCAGTGTCCACACATTGTTTTTCTTTTGCGGCTTTTTTCTGTGTATTATTCAGGCTTCTGGGTTAACTTTGCCACAAGCCCACCAGACACCATCCCGCCTTGCATAGCTCCAACTATTCTTCTTTGTCCTGCATTATCAGAGTTCCTGTTATTATCCTCTCATATCATATCCATTATCCATAGTTTTTTTCCTCCTCTCTAAAAAGACCAACTGTCAACCTGTTTCTTCCTTCGGCCACATTCCCATTTCTCTCCCCTTATAGAAAAAGGTCTCAAAAGAGTAGTTAATCTTGTTTCTGATTCTGCTCCTCCCATTCTCCTGTTTACTAAGGCTTCCCTCCACAGAAAGTATTCTTTCCAGTCACCTCCTTGTTGCTAACCCCAATAATCAAATCATTTATCTATTGACTGTTCTTTTTTTTTTTTTTTTAAAGATTTATTTACTTATTTATACAAGCACTGGGTACAGTCAGAAGCATGGGAGAGTGAGAGAACTCACCAGAGCCAGAGTGGGGAACAGAACAGGCAGACTGATGAAATACACTGCTAAGGGAAGCAGAGGGCGAGACAGGAGAGGTCTGCCGCGCCATGTGGACCCTCGCTGGCGGCCGGGGATCGAACCAGTGCTGCAGAGGCTGTAGGCAGCTTCGCAGCCCAGCGCTCAACCGCTGCGCCACCAGGGGAGGCCCTATCTATTGACTGTTCTTAACACTGTAAGGGCAGAATCTGTCAGGGAAGCAGGCATCACTCAGAGAGGAGGGAAGTTCTTTATTTACATGGGTGGGCCTTACACCTGAAGGCCCAGGGAGATCTCTCTCCAAAGTCTGAGCCCCGAGCAACTAAGTTACAGAGTACATATTAATTAAAGCAAGGGGGCAGTCATCTGGGAATGCATGAATCAGGGTGTGTGTTCCCTAAAACTTTCAGTTTACAGGCTATGTTCCAACTGTAGCTAATCAACAGGTCAGCCTGACATTTTCCACTTCAACACCTCTAGCAGTCCCTCTTTGTTGATGCAACTTTTCACTGGGCTATCACTTACCTAGTTTCTTCTAAGTCACTGGTTGGTCTTCTGACTTTCCTTTACTGGTTCCCATTCCTCTCGCAGATCTATTAAAGTGACAGGGCTTCAAGCTGAAGTGCTCCGCCAACTCTTTTCTGCTACTGTCTTGGTGATCTTATCCTATCCCATGGTATTGAGTAGTATCTTTTTGTCCAGGATTTCTGAATTTGTATCTTCAGCTTGGAATTTTTCCCTGAACTCCACCCTCACAGCCCAAACCTGCTTCTCTGTGGCTTTTTTAACTTTATTTAATTAATCACATACCTATTAAGACAAAACCATAAATACATCCTTGATTTCTATCTTTCACCAATCCTCTCTCACCCACATCTAATTCAAGAGGAAATCCTATTGGTCTACCTTTGAAAATCACCTCCTCACTTCACCACTACCAGCTTCACCATTATTCTGCATAAAAGGCAAAGTTATGTAATTACCCTGCACTACCTGCCCCCTTACCTCTATGGCCTTCCTCGCCCCATCACTCACTCCAGCCAGACTCACTATCTTGCCAGATGTCTTCCTCTTGGAGACCTAGCTCTTGCTGGTTCCTGTACCTAGAAATGTCTTCCTCCAAATTTTTGCTTGGCATGCCTCCTTGTTTCCTTCAGGTCTTTCCTCAAATGCCTCCTTCCCTAATTATTTAAAATGCAACACCACACCCATTCCTTAATCCCTTCCCTTGACTTTTCTCTTCAGCATTTACCATCAGCTAATGCACCAAAGGTTCCCCCCCCATCAAGATTTATTTATTTGTTTGTTTGTTTGTTTGTTTGTTTATTTGTACAAGCACTGGGTACAGTCACAAGCGCAGGAGGGTGAGAGAATTCACCAGAGCCAGAGCAGGGAGCAGAGCAGGCAGATGGACCGAAGTACACTGCTGAGGGGAGCAGCGGGCGGCAGGAGAGGTCTGCAGCCATGTGGGATCCTCCTCTGGTGGCCGGGGAGCAGCCGGGGATCGAACCGGCACTGCAGAGGCTGCGGGCAGCTTCGCAACCCATTATTTCTTCCCCAATTGTGTTTCTGCAATATAATCTGATTTTTTTCCCCCTACTCTGTTTTAGAGTCTAACAAGTTATGATGTCTGTAGCATACTTCTTGGCACTTCTACCATGCTGGTGTGGCTTGGAGTCATCCGATACCTTGGTTTCTTTCAGAAGTACAATGTAAGGAATTCCATGGCTGTCCATGCTGTTGATATGTCTCTCTTGTAAAGTTACTGCACTGCTTTGGCTGAAGGACAAGGGATTCTAATGACCTCTCTTGCTTCCCCAGCTCCTTATTCTGACCCTTCAGGCAGCATTGCCCAATGTCATGAGATTCTGCTGCTGTGCAGCTATGATTTATTTAGGCTATTGCTTCTGTGGATGGATTGTGCTGGGGCCTTACCATGATAAGGTACAGAAAAGCAAATTTTTTTCTGTTGCTATTAAACTCTTAAAACAGTGCCAATGACTTGTTATCCTTTAAAATGAGCTCCTTTTTTTGGTGAACCAGCCTTAAGATGTTGAGGGTAGTATGTCATTACCATGTTTATGAACTGATAAGTTGTGACCAACTTAAGAGGATGATTAATTCAACTCTTTTTGTGGAGTATGTCGGCTAAGTCCTTTTTATCACCCCTGAAGTTAAGTTTAATCTGTTTGATTCATCACTATGTATTAGAGTAATCTATTTAGGTAAGCCTTCTTGAAATGTGACCGCATTTCTAAAGTCGTACAGGGAGAAATTTGTAGGAATATTTGCAGTTTTTGTTACCAGAATTATAGCCTTTACTATAATACCATTTTCTTTAATGGGGTGAATTTTGAAATTAGAAGCATGAGTGTGCATGGTTGGGACCTTGATTTCTCTGCAAAAGCATATCAAGAATCACTTTAGACCAAGGTAAAGGGAAGGGTAAAGCTTGACATGGAAGAGCACTGAGGGGGCAGATCAGCCTGTGCTGCCTTTGGTTCAGCCTGCTTCTAGTAAGAGGAGTATGCCGAAAGGCCTGCTTGTCCCAGGAAGCATAGTAGGCTTACACATGTTATGTGTCTCACAAAGCAACTGCTTATAGTTGCCTCAGGTTATTTGTTTGAAAGGGTATTTTGGCATATCTGGACCCATTATTATTTTTTAAAGACATTTATTTATGCATAGAAAAACTGGGGTGTAGGCCAGAGGTATGGGCGGGGGTGGGGGGTGAGAGGATTCACCAGAGACAGCGTGGGGAGAACAGCAGATTTTACTGAAACACTGCCAAGGGGAGCAACAGGCAAGACAGGAGAGGTCTGCTGCACTATATGTGGGCTAGCTCCCTGGCTGGGGATCAAACTCAGACCACAGTGATGATAGCGTGATAGTGCTAAGACTTAACCCCTAGACCACCAGGGAGGCCCCTAGCCCCACTATTTTTAATGGGGTGTTATGAATGAATTTTCCATTGGGAAGGAATGTGGAATATAGTAACCTTTTTCTCTTTTTCTTTTTCCAGTTTCGTTCTCTGAACATGGTCTCTGAGTGCCTTTTCTCTCTGATAAACGGAGATGATATGTTTGCCACATTTGCAAAAATGCAGCAAAAAAGTTACCTGGTTTGGCTGTTTAGCAGAATTTACCTCTACTCATTCATCAGCCTCTTTATATATATGATTTTAAGTCTTTTTATTGCACTGATCACAGATACATATGAAACGATTAAGGTAGGTTCATCAAGAGCCACACATAAGTAGCAGCATTTTTCTAGATCTTGTAGAGTGACAATAAAATGTTGTGCCTTGGGGGCAAGGGAATTGATGGAAATTTTTATTTCTTCAGGGTAAAGAAGAACTTCAATTTTAGATACTAAGAAACAGAAATGAAGGAGAAATAGAATTTCTAGAATGTTAAAAGTTTTGTCTATCAGTAGTTGTGCTTTTTCAAACAAACTTACTAATCTATTATTAGAATTATAAAAATATAGGGTGAGTGAAGCAGGTGGTATTTCAGAAAGCCAAAATTTTGTGGGGAACTTTTAAAATTCAAGTTTTTTTAAAAAAAGATTTATTTATGCATACAAGAACTGGGGTGCAGGTCAGATGTGGGGGGGTAGTGAGAAGATTCACCAGAGACAGAGTGGGGAACATAACAGGCAGATCTACTGAAATACACTGCTGAGGGCAGCAGCAGGCATGACAGATGAGGTCTGCTGTGCCATGTGGGTAGCTCACTGACGGGATCAAACTCATGCTGCAGTAGCTGCGGATAGCTTCATAGTGCTGTGTCTTAACCCCTAGCGCTACGAGGGAGGCCCTGATTGCAGATCTTTCCTAGCCAGATTACATGCCAGAGATCTTAGACCCCAAAGTGATAAGAGACCATTAAACAAAAACTGTCTGTCCAGATGACTCCAAAAGAGTGTGAAGACTAGGGGCGCCCTTGTGGCATTCAGATCTTTGTCCAGATAACAAACCAACTCAGGGCTATGCTGAGGTCTTCAGAGAAAGGTGAGGAACCCCCAACCCTCAGCTTCCAGCACCACCACTGTTAATTACATCATCTAAGCTTCTTATTTCCTGAACCATGTTTCACCCAAGGTGCCTGCTTACCCTGACCTTGAAAGTCATGGGGCTTCAGGACAGAGTGGTGACAATTTCTCAGACTTGGGACAGGGCTGACTGGATTCTCCCTGGAAGGGGGACTCAGACTCAGATTCAGCAGACCCATTTTGAGTTAAATTAGACCCACAAGAGAGCCCAGGAGGGCTCCTTAGCCAAACCTAGAAGTGACTCCAGAGGCCCGATCTCCCTGAAAATTCTTGGAAGTGGCTAAACTATTCCTCTAGAAAGATCTCCTCTCCCTGTCATATGATCCATTTTGAATTTAAAATAAAACCATTTTCGGGCCTCCCCTGGTGGCGCAGGCATTTGAATGCAGCACTGTGAAGCTGTCCGCAGCCACTGCAGCATGGGTTTGATTCCGGCTGGCCAGGGAGCAACCCACATGGCGCAGCAGACCTCTCCTGCTTTGCCCGCTGCTCCCCTCAGCAGTGTATTTTGCCAGTCTGCCTGTTTTCCCCGTTCTGTCTCTAGTGAATCCTCTCACCCTCTCCCACATCTGGCCTGTACTCTGGTTCTTGTATGCGTGAATAAATCTTCAAAAAAAAAAAACAATTTTTTTCAAGAACTTTTGTTAATGAGAGTTATTTTGTTCTTCTTCTGTATAGCATTACCAACAAAATGGTTTCCCAGAGACTGAACTACGTATGTTTATATCAGAATGCAAAGATCTACCCAATTCTGGAAAATACAGATTAGAAGATGACCCTTCAGTATCCATATTCTGTTGTTGTAAAAAGTAACTATCAGGATTATCTGTACCCTAGAGGACAATATTACACGTTCCTGAGTTGGAAGACAATATAGATATTTTAAGATTGGGTGTACTATGTTTGAAGGCTGTTATTGATATTTTGAACAAATTGATGGCTGTAATTGATTAAGATCTATGTTTATATATGTACTTTTTTGATATTTAAAGGGCAAGTTTATTAGGGAAGGGATAATACAGTTAAAGACACTTGCATAGACACAAGCAGGCAGGAAGAGCTGCCCCAGAAGAGAGAGGTTTGCTAAGAGAGGGCTGCATGGTTGTAGGCAGGAGGCCTTAACAGGTTATGGGCAGGCAGGAAGGCTGCTGCCTGCCATACAGAGGGAGAGAGTTGGTGAAAAGAGGCACCTGCATACTGACAGGTGGGCAGTGGGAGTGCTGCCTGCTTATATTTTTAAAAATGATGTTTAATATCTACAGTTTTATGGTTTTTTTTTAAACTAACATTGATGAGGTAAGCTACTGAATTCTTGTTCTTTCTTGGTCATTTTGCAATCGCTTTAGAATGTGTTCTCTCTGCCGCTCTTTATTCCAGGTCTTACACTCTTGCTTCCAGCTATTCCGACTGTGCAGATTGTGTCATCATATAAAACCATGGTCTGACAGTGATTTCAGGCCACTCACTAGCCCTGGCCTGTATAGCTCTCAGGGGTCTATCCCTAAGAGACAGATGGTTGTTGTATATCCAGTAGTCGCTGCATTTAAAAATTTTCTCTGAAAGGGCAGAATAAGAAAGAAACAACCATTATCAACTAGTAGTTTGATATTTGGTTCTGGAGGACAATTGTTAGCTGATGCTGCTTTTAGCTCTGATGGGAATCTGTTTTTGTTTTTAGTATTCATTTACAGGTTTTCTTTCTTCCAGTGTTAAAGTACAAAGTTGAAAAATTATCCTATACATGTCTGAAAATCAAAGCACAGATCAAATATGTATTCCATCCCACAATGATTATTTTATTAGCACTTGTGTGGTCTTGTGAAAGCCATGTGATGGACTATGCCTTTCATTTAATCTCACAGAAAGAAGAGTGGTGTTTTGGGGTCAGTGGCTGTGGTTTCACAGAGGGGTCTACTAATATTAAACCATTTTGGAAAACAATTATGTTAACATTTTTTAAATGGTTGGGAAATGTATACATTAAAAAAGATTCCAGAGACAATTTTTACTTCCTGCAATTCACTGATTGGAAGTTGCATAGATTTTTACAATGTGAATATTTGTTTTGTATATTATTCTGTGACTTCATCTCTATTCAAATACAAAGGAATTCAATGATGTATAATAAAGCTTTCCTCAAAGCAAACTTTTTTAAAAAGGAAATTGATTTATTTGCTTTTTTTTTTTCAAGATTTTATTGTTATTTATCCATACAAAAGCTGGGGTGCAGGCCAGAGGTGGGGATGGTGAGATGATTCACCAGAGACAGAGTGGGAAGCAGAACAGGCTGATCTACTGAAATACACTGCTGAGGGGAACAGTGGGTGAGTCTGCTGCACCATGTGGGTTAACTCCCTGGCCGGGGATCGAACTTGTGCTGTAGTGGCTGCACATAGCTTCATAGTGCTGAGACTTAACCCCTTGTGCCACCAGGGATGCCCTGCATTTTATTTTGTTATAAGGACTAAGTCAATATTGCCTTGAGTCACTGAAATCTTATTAATTATAATAATGATCATAATAACTCTGGGTATTGAGATATGATGTCTGCCAACACATGTAACCTATTTTGTAGTACCTGTGACCTTTTGAAAATAAAGAATCTAAACCTGTAGGTGAGGATGTTTTGCTATTTATATTTGCAGCACAATCATATTTGGAATTTAGTAAATGTGAGTTTTGAAGCCATGTTTATTATCTGACAAATACTTTTACTTTACTCCTTGTGAGATTTTTGGACTAACATTAAGACTTCAGTGGAAACATGAAACCACTGGCTCAGTGTTGGACTTGGGGTTTGGCTTTGTCTGCAGGTCATAATATCTCTGCTGTGTAATTACAGCCAGTGGCTTGGCTCCTTCACATGCTGTCCTACTTCTGCAAATGTTCTTACTGTGACAGGAGTCCCTGATAAATCCTAAGGCCTAGTTTTTAGTAATGAGGCCCATAAGAGAATACCTCTACTATTTCCTGAAAGAAACAGTAGTTGCGTTTTTTTAACTGTCCCCAAACTTGTACAATGGCTTGACCTGGATAGACAAATGAATTATAGACCAGTTATTCCAGTATTATAGACCAGTTATTCCAATATTCATCTTAGGTATGTACATGTATATTACAGAATGTCAAGGTAAGTTTTTTTTTAATATTTTATTTTATATAATTCTTACATCATTTTTCATTTTTGCACAATGTATGCATTTTCATTTTGGTCATATTCCCCACACAATTGCACCTCCCTTATTTTGACCCTACTCCCTCCTTCCCCCCGCCCCATAGTGTGTCTCTGGTTTATAGTTGCTTGTTGCTTTTGATTTTTTTCTTTATTATAGTTAGTCTTTTTCCTGGTCCCTTATTTAGGTTTTCTAAATTCCTGCTATGAGTGAGACCATCCGGTATTTTTCTTTTTCTTTCTGGCTTATTTTGCTGAGCACGATCCCTTCTAGCTCCATCCATGTTGCTGCAAATTGCATGGGTTTATCTTTTTTGATTGCTGAGTAATATTCCATTGTGTATATGTACCACATCTTCTTGATCCACTCATCTATTTTTTGTGCATTTGGGTTGTTTCCAAAGCTTAGCTATTGTAAATAGTGCTGCTATAAATATAGGGGTGCAGGTGCCCTTTTGAATTAATGTTTCTGTGTCACTTGGGTAAATACCTAGCAGAGGAATTGCTGGATCATATGGAAGCTCTATGTTTAGTAGTTCAAGAAATCTCCACACAGCTCTCCATAGTGGTTGGACCAGTTTGCACTCCTACCAGCAGTACAAGAGAGTTCCTTTTTCTCCACAACCTCGCCAACATTTGTTGTTGCTAGTTTTTTTTAATATGTGCCATTCTTACTGGTGTAAGGTCATTCTCACTGGTGCAAGGTAGTTTTAAGAACAGTGAAAGGAAGACATTTTTTCTCCCAGGCTACTAGAATGGGGAATCAGACAAGGTCAGGGCTGGCCTTATGTTGGTGAGACCCATTTATCGAGGTTAAATTCTCTGCCCCCTGTTCCCAGCATAATGATTCTCAAGTCTGTGGGCACAAGAATCATTGGGGGAGTTTGTTAAAATTTTAAATGCCCAAGTCCTACCAGGAGAAATTCCTATCTGTCAAGTCCTAGGTGAATGTAGACATCGATCTTACACCCCACGAAAAATAACTCAAATGGATCATAGTGAATATGTAAAATGCAAAATTGTAAGACTCACAGATGACTTAGGAGGAATCTATATCACCTTTTTAGATACAATGCTAAAGACATAGAGCAAAAAAAAAATGTTTAAGTTAGACTTTATTAAAATAAGAATGTCTGTAAAAGTCAACATCAAGGGAATGAGGAGACTTGCCACAGATTAGGAGAAAGTGTTTGAAAGGGATATAGCTGAGAATGGACTGTACTACAAGATATACAAAGAACTTTTTATAGTCAATAATATTAAAACCAAATCCAATTTAAAAAACGTACCAAACAGGGCCTCCCTGGTTATATAGAGTTTAAATCTATCATTGCGACTGCCTGAGTTCAAACCCCTGCCAGGGAGCTGACCCATATGGTGCAGCAGACCTCTCCTGTCTCTCCCACTGCTCCCCTCAGTAGTGTATTTCAGTAGACCCACCTGTTCTGCTTCCACTCTGTCTCTGGTGAATCTTCTCACCGCCCCCCACCACTACCTCTGGCCTGCACCCTAGTTCTACGCAAAATAAATAAAATCTTTTTAAAAATGTGCCAAACAGCTGAACAGACACCTCATCAAAGAAATTATACAGATAGCAAATAAGCATAGGAAAGGGTGCTCAACATCACATGTCATTAGGGAACTGAGATTAAAACAATAAGATACCAGTACACACTTAGCAGTACACATTAAACAATAACATCACCAAATGATGCTGAGGATGTGGAGAAATACAAACTCTTGTTTCTGGTAGGAACACAAAGTGGTATAAGCACTTTGGAAGTGTTTAGTAGTGTCTTAGAAAACTATACTCTTTCTATACAACCCAGCAATTGTGCTCCTTGGTATTTATCCAAAGGAGTTGAAAACTTAGGACCACACCAAAACCTGTATATGGATATGTACAGCAGGTTCATTTATAATTATCCAAAACTTGGAGGCAACCAAGATGTGCTTTAGTAAGTGAATTGATTAATAAACTATGGTACATTCAGATAAAAATATTTCTGTTAAAGTCATTGAAAATTGCTAAGTGAAAGAAACCAGTTTGAAAGGCTATATGATTCTTACTATAGGGCATTCTGGAAAAGACAAAGCTATGGGAACAGTGGTTGTCAGGGTTTGAGGGTAGGCAAAGAATGAACAGGCAGAGTCCAGAGGATGATTAAGGCAGTTTCTTAATCCTTTTGGGCTGTTATAATAAAATAGCATAGACTGGGTGACTTAAAAACAACAGGATTTATTTCTCACATTTCTAGAGGCTGTGAAGTCCAAAATCAAGCCTCTGGTAGAGTTGGTATCTGGTGAGAACCTGCTTTCAGGTTTATAAGCAGCTGTCTTTTGCCATGTCTTCACATGGTGGAAGGGAGCCAGGGATTTCTCTGGGATTTCTTTTATATGGGCACTAATACCATTCATGAGAGCTCAACCATAATGATCTAATCACCTCCCAAAGCTTCTACTTCTAAATATTATTAATTAGGTATTAGGATTTAACATATGAATTTGGGCAAAACAATTCCATACAATGAAACTGTTCTATATGACACTATAATGGAGGACATATGCCATTATACATTTGTCTACACCCATAGACCATATACCATTATATATTATTGACACCACAAGAGTGAACCCTCATATAGACTATGAACTTTGGGTGATGCTCACTGATTGGAACAAATGTACTACTCTGTGTGGGATGTACAGTGTGTGAGAGCTGGGGCCAGGCAGGGAGTGTATGAGAACTTTTTGTACTTTCTGCTCAAGTTGGCTGTGAACCTAAAACTTCTCGAGGAAATAAAGTTTATTTTTTAAATTAAAATAAGAATAATATTTCATGACATGAATCATAATCACTCTCTTTTGCCTACTTCTTTTCTATGTTGGCCTTCACAAGACAGCAGCAGAAATTTGGGGTAATTGCAACTGACACAGTATAGGCCCCATCCCAAACCTAAAATATTTATTATCTGATCCTTTATAGAAATGCTTGCCAACCCCTGATTCACAAGAGAGTTTGCTTAAAACTGACTTAATTCACATAGGAGACTGAGCTGCCTTCTGACATAAATTTGATACAATGGACTTTGATGTGAAGGATAATACTAAAATATTATAGAAAGTGCAAAAAGAATATTTGGCACCCAGGGAGAAAGACTTCTTAAGATCACAAAAGTGGGTCTCCCCGGTGGCGTAGCGGTTGAGCGCTGGGTTGCGAAGCTGCCCGCAGCCTCTGCAACGCGTGTTCGATGCCCTGCTGCTTCCCGGCCACCGGAGGAGGGTCCCACATGGCACGCAGACCTCTCCTGCCACTCGCTGCTCCCCTCAGCAGCATACCTCGGTCCTTCTGCCTGCTCTGCTCCCCGCTCTGGCTCTGGTGAATTCTCTCACCCTCCCGCGCTTCTGACTGTACCCAGTGCTTGAATAAATAAATAAATAAATCTTTAAAAAAAAAAAATCACAAAAGCACAGGGCCTCCCCTGGTGGCGCGCTCAGCGCTTGAGCGCTGGGCTGCGAAGCTGCCCGCAGCCTCTGCAGTGCTGGTTCGTTCCCGGGCCGCCGGCAAGGGTCCCACATGGCATGCAGACCTCTCCTGCCTCCCGCTGCTCCCCTCAGCAGTGTATTTGTCAGTCTGCCTGTTCTGTTCCCCGCTCTGGCTCTGGTGAATCCTCTCACCCTCCCGCACTTCTGACTGTGCCCAGTGCTTGTATAAATAAATAAATAAATAAAATCACAAAAGCACAGCTGTCAGTGTTAATATCCTTAATTTTCGTTTCTTGAGCAAGAGATGCACCAGTGATGGCCCTTGGGAATTTGACTGCATGGCAGATTCTTCTGAATTTCTTCTGACTGTCCCTTTTAGTGTTTTGGTTTTTTTTTTTTTAATTTTTTTTTTTTTCCTGTAGAGAGCAGTCCAGTTTATTTGTCGAGGATTCCTTTTGGAAAGGAATGCTGGAAAAAAATAACATAGACAAAATTATGAGCTAGGTGAAGAATGATGAAGATATTTATAATATCTAAGCTGGCAAGGGATTGATAACTTGATTTTACCACTTACGTATGAACAAAAGTTGGAAAGGAAGTGAGCAGTAAATAAATATTGTAAAAGGCACCGTTCTTTCTCTTATTTTATTCTGTTCTTCCACCACATAAATTTCATAGGGAATTCCAGTCTGCCTATGCCAGGAAATTTTTGCATTGTCATTCTTTGCCTGTCTTACATTTCCTATACTACCTTTTAAAAAAAGCTTTCTCTTTCAACTTTGTAAATCAGTGAAACTGTTAGGGGGAAAGGATGTCCTGAGCTAATTCCATGCAGGCTTTGTGGACTCCACCCCCACTCCAGACCAAAGCCATCGGGACATTGGGAAAGACAAATCCCATCACCACCAAAGGGAAGGTTGCTGGGATCTGAGGGTGGAGTTAAGCAGCCAGGTTTGGTATAAAAACCAAACACGTGGGCCTTGGGGTCTCTCTCTCGCCTCCTGGCTTCACGGCTGGTGGCTCGCGGCCAGCTCTCAGAGAGCCATTTGGGATTCCAGATCGGCGGATCGGGTAGGACGCATTTAAGACTTTATCTCCTACTTTTCTCCCTGAGTTGTACATTTTCTCATTTCCCCTTCCCTTGTAAATAAACCTTTTATTAACCTTTTGTGTGTGCCTGCAGCGGAGTATTAATAAGTCCCTTTTAGCGCGCAGGTGAGGACCCACAGTCAGGCAACCTGTTTTGTATTGGGGCTGCCCTGCAACAAAACTTTCATATGAAAGCAACCTGCTACAGAAATTCAAGACCTCTGGTTTGTAAATTTAAAATGCCATATCAGGTCTCCCCGGTGGCAGAGCGGTGTGAAGCTGTCCGCAGCCTCTGCAGTGCTGGTTCGATTCTCGGCCGGCCAGGGAGAATCCCACATGGCGTGACAGACCTCTCCTGCCTTGCCCACTGCTCCCCTCAGCAATGTCTTTGGTCTATCTGCCTGTTCTGCTCCCCACTCTGTCTCTGGTGAATTCTCTCACCAACCCCCCTCCCTGCGCCTCTGACTGTACCCCAGTTCTTGTATAAATAAATAAATCTTAAAAAAATATTTAAAATGCCATATCATAGTAAACTATTGAGCAAAAGGTTCTTGTACTATTTGGTTACTGATCCTCACAATATGAGTCAGAGTATATAACATTTGGTACTATGATATACAGAAAGAATATGCATGATTAAAAAAACAAAGTACAAAACACTGACTTTTGTAAGCACACCAGTGTCACACCCTCCTATAGGGTCTGTCACCACACAAAGGGGATCTTCCCAATCTGTCTGGACCTGTAGGGCACCCCTGATGAAACAACCTCTGAAATAAGGCAGTCATTGCCAGTTGGAAGTGACGTTCAAAAGAGGGTGAATTATGCATGCTCTTATATAGTAAATAATTCTGCCCAACTGCTTTTAACCAGAGATGCATGGTTAAATAATCACCCCCAGAATGTTCTTTGCCCTAACTAAACCCACAGATCTTTTAAACACTTGTTGATTCAAACAGCTTGAAACTTGAGACTTTCTCTGCTGCTATTGCTATCAGGTAAAGAGTAGCAGGACTGTAACTTTCTGGCAAAGAGGTTGTCAGCTGGGTTTAAATGTCAAGTCAACATTATCCTTGACTGAACATGACCTTTGGGAATGTGCAAGTGACCCTCATGACTACATTTCATGATCAGCAAGTGATGATGGTCCTGCCACATTTCCCCCAGGCATCTTCTTTTCGTGTACTGAGAGAGAAGAGCAAAGGTGAGTGGGTTTAGGAGCCTGGCTACTCAAGCTGTGAGGTCTGCTACATCTCTCTGCCCTGTTCCAGGGCCACACTGACATCCACTCCTGAGCAGGAAGTCTGCGCCTGCTTTTTTTTTTTTTTTTTTTTAAAGATTTATTTATGCATACAACAGCTGGATTACAGGCCAGAGGTGGTGATGGGGTGTGTGTGTGTGGGAGGATTCACCAGAGACAGAGTGGGGAACAGAATAGGCAGACTGATGAAATACACAGCTGAGGGGAGCAGTGGGCGAGTCAGGAGGTCTGTTGAGTCATGTGGGTCAGGTCACTGGCCGGGGACTGAACTAGTGCTGCAGTGGCTGCGCATAGTTTCACAGTGCTGCTACTTAAACCCTTGCACCACCGCTCCTGCTTTTTGATGCGAGTGAAAATGCCACTCGTTTTCCCTTGCAGCATGCGTCTATAGCATAAAGTCTCTGAGAACTAAACCTTGCCATCGAGTTTTATGATCATGCACCTTACAATAAATACTTGCTAAAAGAATGAACTTGTCAGCTTAATATGAAAAGAAAAGCAGCCCCCTCCCCCTGCTGGCCACCCCACCCCACCCGCCGCTGCCGGGGGCCCACAGCACCCAGCACTCGGATTGGCACGCAATGTGCATTTCCTGAAAGCCTCAAAACAGAAATTACAAAAGAAATGGACAAACGAATGATGTAGGAAACAACGAAAGAAATGGAGAAACTAAGGGAGCCTTGGAGGCGGGGAGTGCCCCGCCCTGCCGCCTGGGGGCAACGTGGAGGACACTCGGGCTGCACCAAACTGACCCGCCCAGTTCCTTTTAGAAGGTGCTTCTCGGCAGTCTCATCTACCCGCAGACACCCTGGAAGGAGGTAGAGCTGCCGGCCGTGTCGCGGGGCACCAGGGACGCGAGCGCGGAAGCCCCAGGTGGGTGAAGTCACCGCGGCCCAGGCAGGTGCCGCCGTCCGACTCGGCCTCCTCCTTCTGCCCCGCGGGAGCCGCACCATGCCTGGCAGCGCGGAGGCGCTGGACATGCCGGTGTGGAGCGGAGTCTACTGCTTGTCCCAGGACCTCAGCTGCAGGTCAGTACCCCTGGAGGCGCTCGGCTCCGCCTTCAGGGTGCCCTTATATCCTATGATCCCTCCAAGGGGACCCTGGACCCGCTCTCCCGGACCTCTCCGCGGCTCTTCACAGGCGCTTATCTCCACCCCACCTCCCCGGGCCCCGGATAAGTTCCGCTTCGCCGACTCCAGTCTCCGGGGCGGCGGGAGCCTGCTGGGTAACTGGTGGTAAAAGTTCCTCGGGGCCTCCCTAGCGGCGAAGGGGTTAAGTCTCAGCACTATGAAGCTATCGGCTGCCACTGCAGCACGAGTTCGGTTCCGGCCAGGGTGCAGCAGACCTCTCCTGTCTCCCCTGCTGCTCCCCTCAGCGGTGTATTTCAGTGAATCTGCCTGTTCTGCTCCCCACTCTGTCTCTGATAAATTCTCTCACCGCCTCCCCCCCACCTCTGGCCTACACCCCAGCTCTTATATGCATAAATAAATAAATATTTAAAAAAAAAGTTCCTCGGGGTATCAAGCTCCCCCCCGCGCGGTGGCAGCTCAGGGCGGCCCGGGAACATCTGGCCACGCGCAGCTCGCGCGGGGCGCACAGGTCAGTCGGCAGCCATCGCTGGGGGCGCGCAGTGCCCGGCTCACCCCGCTACCCGCCGCGCCTACGCTCGGACGCGGATGGGCGCGCACCGGGCGGACGATGGAAGGGTAAGGGAACGGGGCTAAGAGGGGGCTCCGCCCACAAGCGCTGCCATCCAGGGGAGGCGAGCCTGCCAGCCCGAGGTACTTGGGCTCTGAACGTGTTTCCCGGCTTCGTATCCTGCGAGTCGTGGAAAGTTTGGAAGGCGGAGGCATGGCCCGGCAGCCTTATCGTTTTTCCCACACCCGGGCGGCAGAGAGAGGATCAGGTGTTTTCAGGTTAACCGTCAGGTGAGGCCCCTGCGCTGCAGCTTTCAGGACATCTCAGGAGAAATCCTCATCAAGTGAATGGCTTTACCGTACTTTACCGTCCTAAGCTCGAACTTTCTTGACGCTTTGGAAAGGCTTGTAGTCACTGCTTGCTTGGTTAAGTGAGGCTGGGCTTTGCCTTCCGGAACAAACAGGCCTTTTCCTCAGGTGGGAGGGTTGTAGTGCGGTTAACCCCAATTCGTCTGCCTTTATGAAGAAAGGTACAGTTCAGCCAGATGGCGCTGCCAAGGGGCCCCACCTCCGCGGTCAGAGGTGCAATCAGCCAGCCCCTGCAGCGCATCTGAGGCCCGGTGGGGAGTACAAACAGACCTTGGCTCCCTTGCCCTGCTCACCAAACAAATATAGTGGTGGGCTGACTGCAGAACTTTCTTAAAATAGTATGAAGACTCTCCTGGCCTTTCCTTTCTGGCGTTCTCAATATTTTATATGGACTGAATTCCAGCAAGGAGCCAGAATTCAAGAGAAGAGTTTGCTTTATTCTTGGTGGCTGTCTAGAAAAATGAACTAATTTCAATCAAGTGTGACATATTTGAATTCACGATTTGAATCAGAAGACAACTTTGGTGCAACTTTTCTGGACAATTGGGTTCCTGTGAATGTCACACCAAAATGACTTGGCGTCACGTAATATAAACCATTTCTCTTAATACTTTTAAGGGGAAAGATGGGCAGAAATTATCCATTTGGTCCATCGGCCTTCACCCTAAGGTAGAAAGCAAATGGACTCTGGGCTTCTTTACTGTCTTCTGCTTGGAGAGATAAACTGGCTTGTACCCATGGTGGGTGTGGTATATAATCTTCCAGGGTTTTTTTGCCTTGACTCAGCTATTTTTCTTAGCAAATTTCCTTCAGAACTTAAATGTTGTTGTGTTGTGTTGTTTGTTTGTTTTTTTTCATTTTGTTTTGATTTAAATCATATCCAGTGAGTATCTTCAGAAACTCCCATTCTTACAGGTGGTGGTGTGTTCTGCTTGGCTTTATAGATGACATACACTTACTTGGGTTTGCACATAATTTGCTTTCCAAAAGATTCAGATTTGAAATAGCTATATTTGAATAGCTGAAATGGTTGGACAGTACCCATGGGGAATACACATTGTGTGTCCTCACAGACTGAGAATGGAAGAAGGGATCAGTACAAGAGAGGTGGGAGTGGTTGTCTAATGGATATCAGGCTATGAATTCTGATATTTTCTGTTGAAGGAACTAACTGTGGGTTCTCCCCAGAGGTGGGATGTGAGCTTCACACTTTCAGGAACTGCTCACCACCTCCCTGAAGTGCTAACCAAACATGAGTTTAGCGGAATCTGGTAACTTCTTCGCTTGAGTCAGGAGTCTCTTGAAGTGTTAGCTGCTCCATCCGCTTCATACTTTAAAACTAGTAAAACTCCCATTATTGTGAACTTTCTACCAGCACACCCTCCTCCTTAAGCAAACCTTCCATAAGTCATTTCTGGGACCTGGACTCAAACACAGGTACATTTTCCATACCTCCAGAGCCCATCATAGTAGCATCAATTTTATTTAATCCCCTACACTTCAAATTGTTGAATCCTAATGAAGTGTTTGGGGAGGCCAGATTCTTTTCTCCAAAGGAGAAGCATATCAAAAGTGTTGTTTTTAACAACAACAAAAAATTCATCCATATATTTTAATGATGTGTATCAGAAGAGTAGGGAAACAAATTTTGAATAGAATGGCAGAGAATACAGAACTGAAAGTCAAGGATGATTGTAATAACAATCTTGCCTCTCAGTGAAGTGAAACCCAGAATAAGATAATTTTTAAAACTTAAAAAACCAGGTGCCTTCAGCTTTCACAGTAAAAATAGTGGCCAAAGAAAACTCCTTTGACTATGAAAGATAAAAAGGTACTCTTCCCTGAGGCTGGGCCGTTCTCTTTAGGTGAGACCTGGGGTCCAAGTTCCACGGGTCACTTCTGAACCATGAATCACCCTCCAGCGAGTGCTGACATCACACATTATGGGCTTCATAGAGAAAAGTAATTACACTTCTAGATTTAATTTTCTTTATCAAACGGCTGTGTTCTTTTCAGTATCAATTTTTTTTAAAGCCGTGCTTTGCTTTAGAAGCTTGCTGTTTGCCTTGGCAATCATCTGGGGATTTTTCTTACCCCTCTCCTCAGCTAGCAGAGTTTTTTACTCTGTTCTGAACTTGGGTCTCTGCCTCCACTTTCTTTTCCCTGTGTGATAAAACTGATTTGTGTGTATGTTGCATGTGTTTCTTTCCTTTCAGTTGTGGGGACTACTCCTTTGAAGTTTGTTTCTTGTTATCAGCCCGAGTTAATACTCAGCTAACAGGGGAACAAAAAATCTGCCACCCCCAAATAAGTATTTGGCACAAGGTTGATTTCATGGAAATCAATCTGAATTGAAGACTGGGTAGAGGTTACTTTTGAAAGAGATAGTTGCATGTAAACTTTTGTAAAGGTGTATACCTGGAAAACCTAATCTCTATCATAGGAGAAGGCAGAACTTAAATCTACATCTTTGTTTACTGTGCCTTCCCCAGTAGCCTCCCTAAGTGACCTTCTCTTTCCCATCTCCCCAAAGTCCTTCTTCACTGAGTTATTTAAGATGGCCTCTGAAGTCACGTGGGTAAGCTAGTCATGCTGCATCTCTCTCATGTAGACAGGAGGTATACATTCTTTTTGCCTTTTTCCTTATCAGTCTGTTTGCTTATTTATAAGCCTGGGAGAATCCAGAGGGGCACAAGATGATCTCCTTTGCATCCTGCCAACATCTGGTGGTTTCAGCCAAAAACACTTGTCAGGCAATAATTGGTGACTAGTGAGGCTAGAGAATCTGGCAACTTGTCTTTGTCGTAATTCCAGAAGACTCAGTGTCAGTGTCAGTGGGGGATTTAAAAAAAAAAAAAAAAAATCACCTCATCTGTGTAGTAACCAGAGGAAATCCCTAGAGATAGAGTAACAAGGGATTTCCCAACTGACACTTAGGTGGGCTAGTCCAGAATTAAAATCTATTCATTCAGTGCTTTGAGGGAAAAAAAAATGATTAGTTGTAACTCTGTAGCACCTTTTAACCTTATATTTACTTACAGAGAGTCAGAGAGTCACCATCATTACCCTGTTGAATACTTTCTGCAAATGTTATAGGAAGCAAAATGTAAAGAAATGCCATAATGCCTATCATCTTCTTCAACTTTAACTGCATTTGGAGTCCTGTATTGTGAGAAATGGAGCTCTCCTTTGTCTCTGATCTAGAGAGCTGATTCTTCAGAATGTGTTTTCCAGTGTGTTTGTTGGGGTGGGGGCAGGAGGGAAAGGTTTAGCTTGTACAAAACAAGCAGAACTCAGTGTCATTTTTAGGGAAATTCATGAAAGTTGCAACTTGGTCATCTTTTATGGGTATCTCCAGGAGAAAGTGAAAATATGCCTGTGGTCTTTCTACTCAATGTGCTTTAAGATCAGGATGACTATGTCATTTATATTCTGAGGACTGTGATGAGAAGGTAACCAAGGTTTCCTTCTTTGACTTTTTTTTTCTTTACTTCCTTTAATTAGAAGCCAACTACCCCAGAGTCTCAGCTAATTGGGCTTTTTCCCTCCTTCTCATATGATTTTTGCATATCATGAGACAATCAGTTCATTGTAGGAAATGGTATATTTTTAAAACTGTAGGTATTTTGGGGATTGATATAAAATCTTCCAGTTGCCAGATTGTCCTATAACATTTAGCCTGGGGCCATTGTGGTGCCATAGAAACTCTAAATTTTAGTCTGTACTTCCGCCCACTTTCCACCCCCTGACACACCACAGAGAAACTAAAGGCAGGAAAATACTTGATTACTGGTATGTGTTATTAAGTTCTTCATTTTTGAAAAAGCTTATTTTAAGCTCATAATGGTAACTGAATAATTCATATGTTAATCACCAAAAATCAGGAAAATGTGGAAAACTCAAAGAAGAAATAAAAAGATGACCTTTAATGCTACTTCACAGAGATTACCAAGATTAATTTATGCTTTATGTGCTTCTGGATTCTTTAAAATGTCTACATACAGATAGTAATGTTGACATTTTGTTTCATTTTAATTTTTTTTAAAGATTTGTTTGTTTGTTTGTTTGTTTATTTATACAAGCACTGGGTACAGTCAGAAGCGCGAGAGGGTGAGAGAATTCACCAGAGCCAGAGCGGGGAGCAGAGCAGGCAGAAGGACCGAAGTACACTGCTGAGGGGAGCAGCGGGCGGCAGGAGAGGTCTGCGTGCCATGCGGGACCCTCCTCCAGTGGCCAGGGAGCAGCGGGGGATCTAAGCGGGGCTGCAGAGGCTGCGGGCAGCTTTGCAACCCAGCGCTCAACCGCTGCGCCACCAGGGAGGCCCAAAGATTTGTTTATTTATATGTATACAAGAGCTGGGGTACAGGCCAGAGGTGGGGGGGTGAGAAGATTCACCAGAAACAGAGTGGGGAGCAGAACAGGCCCATCACTGAAATACACTGCTGAGAGGAGCAGTGGGTGAGACAGGAGAGGTCTGCTGTACCCTGTGGGTAGCTCGCTGGCTGGGGATTGAACTCGTGCTGCTCTGGCTGCAGATAGCTTCATAGTGCTGCGACATAACCCCGTGCACCACCAGGGAGGCCCCCAAAATGTTGACATTTTAGAAAAATAGGATCCCAATATAACTGCTTTTTAACTTAAAAAATGTAAGAATAAGTCATAGACCTCTTTAAGTCAATACAAAGTTACCAAAGGATTGCAACTAACAATTTATATGCTATTTTTTCCCAATCGAGATAATTTAGAAATACAAGGTTACATCCTTTAGGTGTATGTTACACCATACCTACCAGCAAGGTACCCATAGTTCTCTCTCTTTTTTTTTTTTTTTTAAATAGAGGCATGTTTTTTATTTATTTATTTGTTTGTTTGTTTTGTTTATACATGCACTGGGTACAGTCAGAAGCGCGGGAGGGTGAGAG